AGAACCAGACAGCAAAAGCAGCAGCTCAGGCACTCTGATGGCACTGCAAGGCCTAGGGTGATGCACTGGTACGTGCAGTGAATGGGACAGCACTGGTGAGAGTGGCAGTAAAGCCTTCCCCACGTCTCCCTTTCCCCAGGAGACACCACACGCCATCCTCTGAACACCAGTATGAAATTAGCACCCAGGGGCTCATTTCCATCATTCATGACATAAAATACAATGGTAGGACACAGATCACTTCTTCCAGCTCCTGATTTTAAATACAGCATCAGGCAAGAGCAGAGGAAAAGAAAAACCTGCTGAGTGTTTCAGCCAGCCCAACATCTCTCACACGAGAAACAGACAAGCACAAACATCTACTGACACAAAAACTAGTCATTTACAATTGCTGGGCAGTAAGTTGCAGAAACAGGTCCAAAGAAAATGAGTCAATTAAAATCTAGCAGAACACTTCTTCTACATCAAGAAATAAGTTCCTATTTCATTGGAAAAGGCCCAGAGCATGATGTTTCTGTCAGTGAGCCCCACGGTCAAAGCAAAGCATTTTACTCATGGATTGCAGAAAGATAATCATTCTATGTAAAACACCTGAAAAGCTTTCATCAGCCTACATTTACTCTCTGCATTCTTAGATTTTTCTGATTTCATATTATACCATAAAATACATGAAGTAAAGATTAAGAAAGTTAAGGTTATTATCAAAACCCACCAGAATTTACAATATTTTACACTGTTAACATGCTCTTCCCTGAGGCACACAGAGAGGCACACTGCCTACCCCACATACCAAAATTACATCAAAACAAGGCAAACACAAAAAGAAGAAATATCACAAGTGGAGGACAGCAGAAAATTCATTCTTTCTCCTGCCCATCAGCCCCAAATAAACTGGGCAGAAGAGCAGTCAAATTACTGAAATTGATGTCACATCAATTGGCAAACTGACTGAGCCCGTACAATTGCTCTCCACCAAATTCACGGGCTCAAGCTGTCTGTTCCCCATCTGCTCCTCTGCAATTTAAGCAATTCTGAACTTCACTCTCTGTACCCAAATGTGTCACAGATTTATCAGCATGTCAGGGCTCATTCTTTACATTCTCCACTAAGGTAAGCTATTAGGGGGAGGAAATTTTCTGTGTTTATAATAGCCAGGCCAGGAAAATTCAAGGAGGACAATCACACATGACCTTACTAAATCCACCATGAAAAATTCATTAGATAACACAATCTCCACTATCCCCCCCGCCCCCAAATGTCTTTTAAAAAGGCCATTTTGTTCTCTTACATGTGTTTAAAGACATGTTTAGTACACAGTACAGAATACTGTAACAAGCTTACAGAAAATCGAATTTGTGGGCCTTTTTTGCTCATATGATGAGCTCCACCATGTATGTGAACCCCTGACAGATAAGGACTGGGATCCTTCACTAGCATATATGGGGTGGCCAATCTTTAAATGCCTTTCAGCAATAAAGGGGAGGGAACCTTACTAAAAACCACAAACAACTTTTGCACACCACAGTTCAGTTTGCACACAGTCAGGTATTTTAGTCTTCGTTCAGAATTCTCTCACTGCCTAAAAAGCTAATATAATGCATTCCAAACACAGTTAATAATTTGTAATTTAGCTACCTTAACAGAATGCATGCTCCATTTAGAGATGCAGCTGCAGATGCTCTCACAGGGAAGAGCAAAGCACAATGCTCTCATCCTGGAATTACACCACTGGTGATGAGATGCTGTACATGAAAACCAGACCATGGCTCTACGTGACACACAACATCAACAAATCCAAGCTCCAAATTCCAGATTTTATCAAATACTCTCTAATATGTAATGGCAATGTATTTTCCATATTAACATATGTCTTATGCTATGACTAATCCTTGCTTACATCCTGTGATATATCTCAAGTATCTCAGGTTATTCTCTTTGTTTTGGTCAGTAACTTGTTCATTTCACTTGTCTAAACTACCCTCACCTCTTCCACTGGTGGACCTCTTACCACTGCCAAGAACTTTGAAATACATAAGCACAGGTTTGCTATGTATGTTATATGTATATGTATGCATATAAATTAACATCAATACTGAAATTGCTTTTTATGTTGTACTATATTTTCCCATAGAAAATATGGGAATATTTATATATATGTATATATATATATATTTATCTATATGTATATATATATATATAATGCAGATTATTAATGAAGAAAGTTTATGTAGTTCTAGGTGTAGCAGAAATCATATATTTATATATATATATTTATATAGATAAATATACATATATATTTAAATTTATATATTTATATATAAATATATATATAGATAAATATATAAATATATAAATATATAAATATATATAAATATATATGTATATTTATTTATATATATAAATATATATATAAATATATGATTTCTGCTACACCTAGAACTACATAAACTTTACTCTCTTCATTAATAATCTGCATTACTCTTCATCATAAAGTCACTTCAGATCCTAAAGGATTTTCATTTGGTGAAGTACTTTGGCACTGGCTCTGTTGTTGCAATATACAAAAGTGTAGTTTTGACAACAATCAAAACCTCGGTTGATGACAAAAATACAAAACTCACAGACATGTAATAGTGTATCACCTACAACAGTTACCCACATATATAGCAGAGATGGTACTGAAGTGTAACCAGCATAGCCCCTACAAGAGATAAAATATATTTTGCATTATTAAAAACCACCAGTTCTTAGCCCTTGTGGTGAAACACTGGAGTAAATCAGTTTGCTTCTCTCCTCTATGTAACAGCAGAATTTACACCAACTGAAAGACATGGAAATTTTCAGATGTCCCTCATGTATCCTGACTTATACTGACCATTTTCCTATCCATCCTGTGTGTAAGCAGCTGAAAAACCACATGCACTTCTATGGCCAAGACCCACCACCATGGGAAACCTGCCACAGGTTGGTCAAAGCAGGAAAAAACCACCCAAGCTCAGATCCTAGATGAACAAGCAAACTGACCTCTGAAATTCCTAGTCAGGCTTCAAAAACACCTGGAGCCCCACAAAAAAAAAAACCAGCACAACTTAAGATGGAACCTATGTGGGCCACAGCCAGCGAGGCACGATGCTCGTTAATTGTTTGCAAACTTGTATGCGTTTTTAGTAGAGAAAAAAATTAAGAATTAAGAAAGAGGACAGGCTTTACAATACGGCTCAAGCCACCTGAATGTGTTAAAACCCATAAATCAATAAAAAGAAAGATAAGATAGCATACTATCAATTTCACCCCTACATATGCTTCCACCAGATAAAGGTCACAAATACACACTCAAGTAAAAATTTAACGGTGAATTTAACACAATACATATTTGTCCATCAGCAAATAACAGTCCTTACAAAGTTAATGAAAAAAAGTCATTTTTAGACAGACCTTAGAAAATTGGGAAACACAAAAGACAAGGACAATGCAGGTTCAAAATTTCAAAAGGACAGATGATAAAGAAATGGCAGGTGCAGGTTTTAATCCATAAATGTAATACATTAATGAGAAGAAGTATGATTTCACAGAATAAATATCCTTGTAAGATTACAAGATAGTGGATAAAAGTAACTGCTGCCTCTAACAGTTTGCTGGAGATTTGTGACTTCAGACCTCCGCCACTAAGGAAAAAAACATTTAATAGTAAAAACAGTACTAACCACAATGTAATGGACATACCTAAACTGCCACAAATAGGCTTACTTAAAGATCTCTAAACACACCTACAGCGTGGACTCATCAAGGAAGACTGTTGCTAGTTCAATGTTGCTAACAGTCACAAATACTCTAACAGTAATTTTGAAAAGTAGGTAATTATTGGAGCTATCATTCTTTACTCTTTCATCAACATCTGGTCCATCTGCAATGACCAGAAAAAGCCAAATGATGTGAGCACAGTTGCACAACATGGATCTAACTGAAAAGCAAGGCCGTACATCACAGAAAGATGACGTGACAGCTATAGAATGAGGAGCTGAACCCTCCCAAGTGGGGCTGCTGAGCCTCACACCCTTCCTCACACTCACCAGCAATGAATTCTGCTTGAAAAACTCTATGAAGCGACTGTTGCGTTAGCTCTATTTGCATCACATTTAAATTAAGTTCAGCTGTGAAAACGGTGGGTGAGCGAGGGTAAATTTCCATTCTCTCGCTGTCATGGGATTTCACACAGGAAAATTCAGCGAGGGGTGGGTACTAACTCGCATGTACGGACAAAGAACCAGGCTGCTGTGCATGCTCGGCCTTCTCTAAAGGTTCTGTAGAAGTATTTTGCTCAGCACGAGGATAACTGCGCTCCGAGCCGCGGAGGAGCGATCGCTGCTCTGGAACTCGTGTCAGAGGCGTGCATTGCACAGAGCGCTGTGTGCCCACGGCACCGCACCGCCGGGTGACTCACACCGGGTTTGGGGGGCCACGGCACCGGACTCTGGGGTGCCCACGGCACCGGGCTCTGGGGTGGCCGCACCCCAGCAGCGGAGGCAAATCCCGCTGAGGGAAAAAATCCCCGTGCGCTCCCAGGCCTGCGGGGCCCGCCGGGCGCCCGGGCCGCTGTGGGCAGCGCTCCTTCCATCCCCGGCCGGGCCCGCAGGCGGACCGCGGGAGCGGCGCCTCACACAGATCCCGCACACACACTCCGGGAGCAGCCCCACACAAACTCTGCACACGCTCCGGGAGTGGCGCCGCACCCAGATCCCGCACACAAACACTACACAAACACTGCACACGCACGCTCCGGGAGCGGCCCCGCACAGAAGGCCCCGGGAATGGTGCCGGCGGGCTGGGGCGGCTCCTCCCTCGTCGCTCGCCTGCCTGCCCACCCCCCCCCGCACGTCCTTCCCCGCCAGCCCCTTCCTCCCGCTCCCCAGAGCCTTTTCCTCTCCCCCAGTCTCCTCCCTCCCTCCCCCCCCACACAGTAAGGTAACTCCCAGGAAATATGCGAACCTGTTAATTTTTACCTTCCTTGGCTTTTTTCCTCCTGGCCAGCGTGCCGCCGAGCTTGCCCAGGAAGGAGTCATCCTTCTTTCTGGAGGGGGGAGATTTGGGGGTGGGGGACTTGGGGGAAGAAGGGGATTTCTGCGGGGAGGTTGCCATGCTGGGCCAGCCGCCGCCGGCGCTGCGGGACGGAGCAGCGGCACGGCTCCGAGGCCCCGGTGCCGTGGGAGGCTGTTCCCGGCTCTGAACGGAAGCGGAATTATTTCAAGCATTTGAGGCAGCTCCTGCTCCGCTCTCCCGGCTCTCCCGTTCCTTCCCTCCCTCCTCCCGCCCTCCCTCCCGCCGGGGAGGGCCCGCTCGCCTCGCACGGCTCCCGGTTGGCCCCGGGCGGTGCGGTAGCCGCTCCGCTCCCGGCTGGGGGCACCCCAAGGGAGCCGGGGCAGCGCCTCGCCCCCCGCTCCATCCTCCGGCCGCGCACAGGGGCCGGGCACAGCGGGGCTGGGTGGGTGAGTGACCCAGGTACCATGGGTGCCGAAGGGTGAAGGTAGGTGTGGGCACAGTGCTCACACCGCTCACACCGCTCAGTTCAGCCTCAGCTGCCCCAAAGCGAAGGGCAGCTGAAGGATAGCAGGGTCACAGCTGCCAGCAGATGTTTGTACGTCCATAGGAAAACAGAACCACGGTCAGAGTTGGAAGGGTTAAGGATAATCTAGTTTCCAACACGCTGCCATGGACAGGGATGCCTTCAATTAGACTTGATTGTTTAAAGCCCCGTTTAACCTTGCCTTGAACACTTCCGTGGATGGAGTGTCCAGAGCTGCTCTGGAGAGCTTGTTCCAGAGCCTCACCACCCTCCCAATTGTGGGGGCCTGAATATATGTTGTATTGTAAGATCTGTATGGGTCCGAGTTGCTCCAAACGAGCTACAGCTGCAAAGTCCTTAGTTGGGCAGCAGCTGTAGCTCGTGAAGGTAACTGAAATAAATAGGGATCGGTCGAGAGCCCAGGATGAGCCCCTGAGAAGACAGGAAGGGCTGTGCTGCAGAGAATGGAGAAGAGCCCCAGCAGAGAGGCAAGAACAACACTGCAGTGAAGATTACAACACCCAATAAAGAGTTTCTTCCTAGGATCTTGTCTAAACCTACACTTCTTCAAGCCTAAGGCTATTTCCCCTTCTTCTGTCACTACCTGCCCTCGCAAGAAGTCCCTCTGAGGTGTCCTGTAACCCCCCTTTAGGTTCTGGCAGGCTGCTAGTCTCCCTGAAGCATTCTCCAGGCTGAACAACCTCAACTTTCTCAACCTGTATTCATGGGAGAGGTGCTCCAGCCCTCTGAGCACCTTGGTGGCCTCCTCAGGACATGCTCCATCAAGTTCATCTCTCTTGTGTTGGAGGCCCCACATCTGGGCACACAAAAGAACTTATGAAGCAATAAAGTCTCACTAAATAGTTTCCTGCAAGTTAAAGTTCAAGCTTACTACAGACATTTCAGTCTGGGTAACATTTTGCAAAGCTCTTCTGCCTGCTCGTCCTCTGTGTCTGTGGTGAGAAGCAGCGGGCATCGTCATATCCACTGCTACAAAACAAAACAACTGTTGTAGGCAGACCAGTATAAAAAGGCTGTGGAAGGAAAGGTGACTTAACATGATAGATTGCCTATACCAACCCTGCTTTGATTTGCAGATGAGCAGCTTAAGGAAGGTTTAAAACAGATAATTTGCTGTGACTGGTTCAGGAGGCATCCAGGAGTGGAACAGCATTAATGTCATCTGGATGCACTACTTTCACTTACCACTTAATCACTTGATTAACAATTCAGGCAAAAAGCCACACACACTTCATGCAAATATCTAGCGATCCATTAGGCATAATAAGTGAAATGAAATTACCATGAGGATATTTCTAAATCAGCTAATAATTGTTGTGTTTTTACAAGCTGGTAACGTTGGTTAGCTGATGAGGGGTAGACATCAATGTCTATTTGTTGCATGCAGTTCGTGTGTGCCCTGGAAAAAACTCTCTCCATCCATCCTGCTATCAGTTATAAACAGGAATGAGCCCAAGGCTGAGCACAATCCTTTCCTTACATTTGCTCTCTGGTTCTAGCACCAGTTACTGTCTCAGGCCTTTTGTCTTTGGATTTCAGCCTGAATTTCACACACTATTCTCTTTTTGCAGACCATGAGAGCTGCTTATACAGTGTATGTATCATTTTAAATAACATAATAAACGACTGCTTCAAAAGGAGAAATACACACATCATGCACTTTTAAAAATATGCCTGTAAATCTGTGCCATTTACAAACAGAGCAGTGACGCAGCTGAATCTCCATTTGGAGCCAAATGACTATGTATGGATGCCAATATAGGATTTTGTGGGCACAGCAGAAGAGAGAACATTTTTGTAAGCACAAGTGCACTTGCCTTTGTACCCCTGTGTTTGTGGTAAATACAGAAGGAACAAGCCAGATGCCTCACAAAGAGCAGGGGGTACTGAGCTGTGCAGTACAGAGTGGTCAGAAATCAACAAACATTTGTCAATTCCCTCACAAAACTCTTAAAAAGACACAGAGTCGTTCCTATTCCTCAACACTCAGTATATGTAAATTAATGATAAATACAGTGTTACTTGTTTGATAGCCTTGTGAACTATGGGAGTTTGACATCACAAGGTGAAAAAAATGAAATGAAACAAAGTGTTTAAGATGAAATTTATCACATCCGGAAACTCAAATTCTGTGTGCTTTAAGTAATGATGCTAAACCAACAGCCAGATCCTAAGTTGAAAGTTTTGATTTTGGAATTTCTTTCAGGATCTTTGTGCGGTTTTTTGTGTGTAACATTACTGCAGTGTTTTTCCACTTGTGATGGACAGTTACAACATTTTCCCCCTGTATCTCAAATTTAGAATTATATATGGTACCTGACCATGCACAGCTGGTTTTTATTTCTTTTCATATGAGATTAAGATTGGGCATACTCATATGCTGGAATTTAAAGCACAGCTATGATTTCTACTCTAACTTCTTTGATAAAAGAATATTCTGTTTAAACAATATAACAAAATAACATCGTTTTATAATAGTAAGAGAGTGTTTCCAAACAGATTCTAAAAACATACAATGAGCAAAACAGATAGATTAAGATGTGATGAGGAGAAATGTACATGAAAGATAAAAGATAACATGTTGTATACAGGCACAGAAATTAATAATATGAAAGCTTCAGAGGGAAGAAAGTGGGTTTAAAACTTTTTGGCAAAATGGGAACGTCATCCTGGTATTCACTACTTTTGGTAACAAGTTGTTACATCAATTAGTCATTTATAAAAACTGGGCCAAGTTTACCTGTCTTTACAACTGTCCTTCTTGATATAGTTTCAGGAAAAAAAATTCAGTATTATGACTTTTTTTTCTTAAGAAGTTTCAGTTGTAGCCTTTGTTTGGGCCTGTAGTTATGTTCAGGTGCGTTACACAAATGTTCTAGCAAGCACAATACTGGCATGCAGTGACACCATGATATTCCCTGAAAAATCCCTTCACCAGGATTTTTCTCCTGAGAAGCTGAAAGCCTCAGAAAAGAAATGTAAACAATAATTATCTGATTGCTTGGAATGTGGTCTGGAGGTTGCTCACCAACAGATGCATCTTTGATTGGTGCCATGTGAATTGTTTTTTAATTAATGAACAATCCCAGTCCAGCTGTGTCAGACTCTCTGGTCAGGCACAGGTTTTTATTATTCATTCTTGTCCAGCCTTCTGATGTCTCCTCTTTCTTTAGTACAGTTTTAGTATATAATTTCTTTTAATATAATATCATATCATATAATAATAATAAATCAGTGTTCTGAGAACAAGGAGTCAAATTCTCATCTCTCACCTCATCCTGTGGGTTTCTTCTGTTGCTCATGAGAAGCAACAGAAGAAACCACAATTTTTCTCATAAATATCAGGCAAAGAGATCTGTGTGAAGTCCAGCAATTACCTTGCCCATTTGAAGGAACAGCATTTGCATGCTGCCACGGCAAACCCATTGTGTTAAACAATGCCAAAATGTGTGGTCCATGAAAGCCCAGCAGGGACAGCTTAAAAACAAAAATCTTAACAGCAGCAAAGTCACAAAAGCTACACAGAGTCTCCAATCTGCTATGCCACATCCTGTTACTTGCTCAAGCAAGGAAGAAAACAGTGTAGCTCTCTGGAAAATAACTACTAAACTAATGCAAAAATCTTAGTTGAAATCAGAATGCATTAGTTTACAAAACAGAAGTTTCAAGGCACAAGACCTCTAAATTTGTTTCCTATGGTCAAACACACTGAAAATCAGTGAGGTGTCCCTTTACCTTGGAGGCAAACGGATTGGTCTTGGTTCAAACAGTGATTTACAAAATTGTTTTCCCCAAGCTTTTTACAGAATCACAGAATTGTTTAAGTTTGAACAGACCTGTAAGATCAAGTCCAGCCATTAACCCAGTGCTGCCAAATCCACACTAAACCACATCCCTAAACACCAACTGAGTTTCTTTAGGCCTGTGATGAGGGGAATAAGGAGGGTGTATGCATGCACTGTGATTAGAAGAGCCCCAGTAAATTCCTGTGGTGGCATTCCTATTCTGCTCCTGGGACAGAAAAGTCAAGATGGAAGGGAAAGGACATGACAGTGAAAGGAAAATCTCAGTTCAAAGATGCCAGAAATGACACTGACCTCTGAAGGGAAGCAGCTGTCTGTCAGAACCCAGGAAATTCCTCTGGCTGCCCTGGATGGCTCAAGACCCTGCCCAGGGGGCTCAGAGACCTTGGCACAGAGCCCAAGACTCCTGTGCCTTTGATTTAGCCCTTGGAGTAAATTAAATTGCCACCTTTATATGAAGAATTACAAGTCAAAATAATAGTTTGTCACAGGGTGAAAAAATAGATTTTTGGGTTTTTTAGAATGGGGGCTTGGGGTCCCAAGATTCCCTAGGGAGGAATTTGGGAATTTGGTTGTACCCTGTCCTTCTTCTTTCTTCTTCTTGGCCTCCATCTTCTGGGTGATGCTGGCACTTTTAGATGGGTTTAGGGTAGAAGCTCACTGTCTAACATAGGTGATTGGTATTGGGAAGTTATGGTAAATATTGTATATGTAGTTTTTAGTATAAAAAGGTAACACTGCCCGAGGGTGTGTGCCTCTGTCCTGCTGGACAGACCTCAGCTGGCCAGAGAAAGAATTTCATAGATAAAAAACAATAAACAACCTTGAGAATGAGAACTGAAGAGCTCTGACTCCCTTGAGCGCCGGGCTGGGAAAAGAGACTTTCTAACCCACCTCGGGGTCAGTGTGAGCAGCAGAGATTCTGAGAGCTGTCCGTCTGTCCTGTGAGGAGGAGAGACCCATCCATCAGTCCAGAGTCACTGAGCAGGGCACAATCATGCTGGCTTATCCTCTTCTCTCCTCTGGGCACCACATGGTCTGGGTCAGTGAGACTCTCCCACTGCTGCAAAGCAACAAAACAAGGTGACCTGATAGAGGGAAAGTTAGTGCCATTTGAAAATTGACAATTAATTGGCAATTATGATTTTGATCACCATTTTGTCAACACTTTTCCTTTGAGTCTTGAAGGAGCTGCTATGATTTGTGTGTCAAGCCCAAGGAAAGCAGCTGGTGAATTCCTGTGTAAGCATGTGTGGAAGTTGTTGGTCTCCTGGGGTTTGTAATCTCTTCTGTCAGAGATGCTCCCAAACCTCAGTGTCATTATTTCTGAGCCACAAAAGGAATCTGTGCATGGCAAGATGCTGTGATTTACTTACCAGTACATGAGTTCAGAAGATGATTTAATTTCTTTAGCTAAAGATCTGTCCTCATCACACATTATTGTGCTGCAGGTATCAGTAGAAAGAAATTTCTATGGAAATTATCTGGGGACTTCAAGAGTGAGCCAGAATTTTATTCTTTCAAATAGATAATTTCTCACAACCAGCCCATTTAGACACACTCAGTACATTCCAGCACATCACATTATACCCCAAAATGACAGTGCTATACCCCAAAATGACAGTGCCATCAACTTAAAAATGAACAAATCTATTATAAATTAGGGAGCCAAGTTACAGAAAAGATTGAGCAGCAAGAAAACTGATAACCAAACCAGTGTTTAAATACATTTCTAGTAGAAGCCAGCCACAATAAATTGACCTGGCAACAGTGCACATAGCTTCTCCTTTTTTTAACCCCCTTCTCTACTCTCACAATACACAAAGACCTGCTTTAAACGACTTAGGAGTTTATGATTTTCCAAATCACTTGCACAGTTTATTTTTGGGTCTGATCTTGTGAGGTACTCGATATCAGGCAGGGCAGCAGTAGCCTGACAGGTTTTTCCACCCAAGAGCAGACAGTTTTGGGTGGAACACGTGTAACCACCACAGGGCATCTAGAAAAGTGCTTCTTTAGCAAAGAATGTTTTTGATGTCCATAAAGTTCTGATGGCCCTCAGCTCCTGCAGACTCTGATACTCTCAAGAGTGCAAATCTTTGAAGCTCAAGGGAAAGCACCCTTTCGAGTTTGGTTTTATAGCTGAACAGGAATCTATCTATCTGCTGTAAACTGAAATCTCAGGGCATGTTTGCAGCAGCAAGACTAATGTGAATGGGACTTCTTAATTGTAAAAGTGAGGTGAGAAAACCAATCTTTGATGTAACTGGAGATTTCTGCAGAATTCTCCTCCTTTGCAAAGCTCTAAGAATTTTGCTTTCAAACTTTTGAAAAATACCTTGAAATCATTATGATTTTCACAGAAGACTGTGACATTTCCTAGACGGTCTTTTTCTACAGGACTGCATGAGGGAGGATTGGGGACAGTGATAAAACCCAGAAATTTTCTCCACCAAACTGGAAATACCAGCAGATCTCAACAGAGAAAATGAAAATATTTGTTGCTGCTCTGCCTCTCCTACTTTGTGTCAGTCTTAAGTAATAGAGTTAGTTTAAAGAATCCATCACTGCAATCCATCTCAGTAAAAATGTCATCTGAAGATCAGGTATGCTTAGCCTATGAATGAGAGGGGGAAAAAGTCTGGTGGTAAATTTTGGAAAACATTTAAGTATTTCTTCCATATCTTTTCACTGTAGTGGAAGACAAATTGCATGTTAAAGCCCTGAATGTTACATTTTAAGGGTATCCCTTCAAGTTACAGTCACTGAGAACACTGTTTAAAATCTTAATTCATATTTTAATGCTAATTATGTACCAAACTTATAAAGCTGTCTGCTCTACAAGGCACAGTTTTGCTGTACACAGCTGTTAGAAATACACATTTTTCAGTCAAAATCAGAGACAACATCCAAACTGTAAGATGCAACCAGACACTCTTACCCTCTCCAAACAGTCTAATAAATAGATATAAATAAATATTGCAGAGCAATAGCATAAAGCTTGCACCAACAGAGGTATATTATTTATCTGTGACCAATAGCAAAAACTTGCTTTTACCTTTAGAAAGGATATTTCAAATTTCTTGCAATAAAGAAGGAAAAACAAAAACAAAACCAAACCAACCCTAAAGACAACTCTGAAATTATTGTGACAAGATCCAGTGTGTCTGTTACTTTACCAGTACCCACCAAGAGGTTTTTCAGTTTAAAGCTTTTTTTAATAGGAATGCTTCTATCTTTGGCTGTACCACAGGCAGATGCTGCAAATTAGCACCATTCACAAAATAATGAGAACATCAAATCTTCTCAAAGCATGAGGTAAAATGATATTCAAAAAACAGTCTTTCAGTTTCCTCTTGTTTTTTCCAGTTTGAAAATCTACTGTATCACACATACAGTTGGGAATATTACCAATCTTAAATTGGCAGAATTATCTCAGATTTAAGAAGTTACTTAAATTAGGAGAATATCTGCATGCCTTTTTACCAATATCTACAAATGCATGTACAAAAAAGATAGGAGATGGTCCCTTTAAGCAAAAAATATATATTCTCAAGCAGCAGGATAAATGTAATTGAAATACACTCACAATATTTTCTATCAAATGTTGATACTAAAAACTCAACATTTTTTGTAGTCCTTTTATGGGATGGTTGTCAGGGAAGGCTTTAACTACTATAACATTTATTACACCCAACAGTACAATTTGTGATGTGTTTTGTGAAGAAATTTTAAAGTATGCCCTACTAAAGTCTGCCCTATAGTCCAATTGGGACTGAATTACTATTTTTAAATTATCTTTTTTTCTGATTTGAAAGACCTTAGTCTCTGATATACAGAAACTTTTTTGTGCATGTAACAGCTGTAAGGATAGTCACCCCTTTGATAATCCCTTACCCTTTTACAAAACACAGGCATTTAATAATGCTTTAACTTCTTGTTCAAAAATACACAGTGCAATAAAACTTATAAATACCTGAAAAATTAATTTCTGGCATTGCATTTACAGTAGTTTCAGCAAGTGCTCATATGTAGTTATTAGTCAAATGACTCTTCCTCCACCAGAAATAAAGACTAACCCTATTTTTATGAGATGCTTGTTTTCTGACTTTTCTCTAGTTGGCCACGGCTTGGCTGTGCCAAAATATTAACAAAGCCACACAGAGATTCAGACTAACAGATGGAGAGTAAGGCTGTCTCAGAAATACTAAATGATGTCATCATGTTCCTCAGAAACTCTACTCTCAGCATTAAAATAAAATTCCAAGAGCATAATGGAGCTCTGATTTCCCTTTCACTGGCCCTGGTGCCTGTCAGACAGACACATTCAGTCCAAACCTGGATCCCAGTGGTCCTTTGAGCTCACAGTGAAATGACTGTCTCTGGTCTAAGCAAAAGACCTGCCTTGAAGCTTTTGATAACAAAATGACGTGCTTCCCAAATAAGTTGATTTAAAATTTGAATTCCTTCATTTTCCAGAAGAGCGGATCTCCGTGACAGGGAATACTGCTGAAAGGATGTTTATTTGCATGTGGCTGTTTAAATCCTGCTCAGCTGATAACCTGTAGATAAAATAAGGCTTTCAAAGTGCTGGTCTTCTGCTCTTTCTTTCACTCTCTGCTCTTCTAAGGCACATACGAGTCTGTCCCTTTCTTCAACCACTTTCATCATCTCGGTAAAAATTTCATCCTCCTCGTTCAGATCCATCTCATCTTTAAGGCTGTCTAAAAGGCCACAAAAAAGAAGTTTAGAACCAGATCACTGTTTGCATTTTAACTGTTGGTGCACAGCTTGAATTAACATTATCATCAATGACAAATGTAGTCAATAGCAGTTAGTATTGTTAAAGTTACAGCTCAGGAGAATTTTCTCCTGGATTTGGGCCACTTGAAGTTGATCATTAGAGTTCCTAGAGTCTATAGTAGATCTGGTACAAAATTTAGACTGGAAGTGATAGGAAAAGCACTACTTAATTATAGAAGCAATTAAGCTGTAGTTTAAATTTAGCTCACAAGGTAAAAATCCCTACATGAAATGTAGTACCTGTAAGGAAATGGAAAGCATTTTTCAGAAAATGTACTGAAACCTGCCATCACTTGCAATCCACATGCCTAGAGCAAATCAGGATATTTTGGGGTACTCAGTGCTATGGAAGCACTCTTCTCCCTGCATTTTTTTTTTTCAAAATAAATTGCTCCTTTTCACATCCCAAATGAAAGGACAAGCCCAAGCTGTAATCCCAAGTACTTCACAGCAGTCCCAAAACACTGTGGTGCCCAGCAATGCTGCATAAGAGCAGAAAATCTCTTCTCTTAGGTGACAGAAGTCACTTTTCATTGGTGTCCACCATCAGCTGGCCTGGAGAGCTGCCTGAGGGAGCACAGGAGCCTCAGCCACCCTTTTTTGGAGCAAGCAGGGTTGGCACAGTCTGTCTCACTGTCCCCTCTGACTTACCATCAATGGCCATTTTCTCTCTCAGCTTTTGCTCCAGCCTGCTTTGGTGGTCCTCCAATTCTAGCTCTTGGGCTCTGGGTGCAGCAAAAAGTATGTTAAAGAAGCAGCTTTTTTCAATGAAGACATATTTGTTAACATGATTTCAATTCTGGGATTCTGTGTTGTGTTTATCTGGTATTTTCTCCTCATGGGCTGCCAAAGCTGAAAGGTTTGCCTGTGCCAACATCTCCAGAACAGCTCCAGGAGTACCACTGCCACCTTTTACATTAGGTATGGGGTTAAACTCCCCCAGGCACAGCAATGCTTAAGGCTTTGAACCGTCTGTGCTTTGCTGGTGGCACCCACATTGTAATTCTGCATAGGGCTGAACCCACACATGAAGGGCCTCCAGAGCTACTCTGGATTTTATTCCTCAGCTGTCTCAAATGCAGCACACAGCAAGGTGATCAGGTGTATTGTGAGTTGTGAGTACATTTTTCCCTCTCCCCTCCCATCTTTAATACTTCTGTTTGTTCTTACTTACATAATCAGGAGCTCAGACTCATAACGCATTAATTTATTCTTCTCCATGACCAGCTCAAACCATTCATGTAGCATCTGATTTTCATCCTTTGTGCCTGAATCTGTGGGAAATAGGAGACTTCAGTGTGCTTTCTTTCCAATGCTTTTGCCAACTAAGTTCTCCTGTGTAAGCCTACATGACTCCAAATGGAGCTGGTTTTGGTGTGACTTACCCCAGTAATGGCTGAGTACAACAGGTAGGACATTTTTATCTATTTTTGGTTGACAGTTGTGGCTTATTGCAGCTAAAGATGCATGGGATTTTAAAAAACTTGTGTCCTAAAGTTTTTCCTTCCAAATAATCACATATTGGGCACTATTTCTGTCTCTTAGCTCAGTGTCTCCTTTGAAACTGGGCTTCAGAGCTGAACTGTGTCTTGGTGGATATTCCATTAACACCATCAGCCTTCAGGATGTGCACAGTGGCAGCTTAATCCCTGTTTCTTTAAATACATAAAGAAATATGTATTTGTTTTCCTTGCTGTCCTTTTTAACATCCTCATGGCTTCACATTTTCCATTCATTTTTTCACAAAAGAAAGCCACCCCATCTCCCTTTGATGCAGAGTTACAGCAACACTGGTGGCACTGCCAGCACACCTCCCACATCTGTTCTGCCTGTTCCTGCCTGCTGCCACACTTTAGAAACTCTGTCTCTCTAATAAAAGATTGTAGCTTGATTGAAGTAAGCAAAGATAATGCAGTTTGCAAAAAAACATTCATTTTCATAAAATCCACAAAAAGATGCAATAAAAGTAGCCCTTGTTTTGCCTCCTCCTCCATCCCACAGAATCCCCTTAAGTGTTCCCAGTGGCATTTTTCCCCTGAGCTTTTCAAATGTTTGTTACTAGCAATTTAAATACTTATTTAAGTCTGATGGAGCTCTTGATGCCTTCCAAGAGCAGAACAAAGCAAAGAAGCATTTTGGATGATGCAGTTTGACAGATTTTTTTTTTTAATAAGTTAGAGGGAACACAGTTTGTGAGTTTGTTTTGTGAGCCATGTTGGCTTTTCCCTACAGCAAAGCAAACCTGTCCTTCTGATTTATCCGAGTCTCCTGACTGAGATCCATTTGAAAGTCAGCCATTCTTCTTATTACATCAGAGGCATTTCTATTTTCATCAATTTTGAGGCAATTGTACATAGGCTGTGGAGGAGTATTTACTGAACGCTCCTCTCAAAACCTGAACCTTCTCAGGTTGATGCTTCACTGTCCCTTCTTACAGTCATCACACAGTAAAGGGATCTTGGCCAGTTTGCACCTTTTTAGGTACAGTTAAACCTCATATTCCTTATTTCTACAGGCTTGCAACTGATTTCTTTTGACTCTGTTGAAAATTCTGAGACACCTCAGATATGTTTTTTGTGAAATCAAAAACTAGCTCCAACATGTGCAGATATTTATTCACCTTCCAAAGCATGGAGACATTTCCTAACGTTCTCTCAACATTGGTTTTCTTCTTTACTATCATTGTTCATGACTTGATTAGTCAACTGAGCCCTTATGCTAATTTCAGTGGAAAACGTGTTTTGAGATTTTTATTTCTGTATTTTCTTGTAGGCAGAAGCTCTCCATAAGCCTTCACAAATGTCAGTGGAAAACAAAGCAATGGTACATCAGTGAGTTATTATTTGGTATTTTGAAGCAGAATAAAGGAAATAACGAACATGAAAAATTATTCATAGGACTGATATTATTTCTTCTCATTTTTGGGGGGTGGGTTTTTTTTGGGTTTGTGGTTTTTTCCCTAATGCATGAATTATTGTCACTACAATTACAAGATCATCAAAACCTCATTTTGCTCATCAGTCTTCATGGCAGTTGTTTCGCACCCACGCATGTTCTCTTCTAATTCAGTTGAGGAGCTAATGAATAACTCCCCCTAACAAAGAGGCCATTCATCCCAGGCTTGCAGAATTATTAGAGGAGAGTTGCGTAAATGTCACTGCAAACTGCTGTTTGCAGGCCTGCCTCTAAATTTGGTTATTCACAACCTTTGCAGCTCAATATTATTGCTGAACTGTGATCGTTTTCTAATTACCTTAATAATACCTATTAAATCACTTGAATTGCATAAGCACAGACCTGCTTAAATACAACTTAACCTAATAAACACTGGTCATTCATTAAAAAGTAATGCCCATTATTTTTAGGAAGCTTGAACAGAATATTAAACTCAGCAGTTCCTGCATCATTACACACAAGTTATTGTGAGCAACAAAGCACTCACATTTTGTCTGGGGAGCTCATGGCTTCTGCACCAGAAGAGTTATTGAGAGACAGTAACATCCTACCTTTCAGTATCTGCCCTATTTGTAACTGGCCACCTACACACAAACAATCAACAGGGAGAAAAAAAACCAGTACTTTCACCTTAATGAGGGCAATCCAATTACCAGGGATGGTAAGAGAATGAGAAGCATCGATCTCTTGGCAGGCAGCCTTCTTTAGGAAATGCGATTGTCAAAACAGCAACAACAAGAAGTGGCTCTAGGCCATTTATCCTGGCATTCTGTGTCTATCCCAAGAGCTAGAAGCTTCTTGTCCCTCTATATTTTTGAGGCTTACAAAAAACAACCACCTTCATAAAAATCAGAAGAAAAAAGCTAACTCTGTAATTCTCACAGCCTTTCTAGCAGACTTTCTCACAGGCAGTGAGCGGGGTGCTGTTTGATAAAGGGTTGTGATTTCATTTAAGAAAAAATAGATTATAAATTTTTAAATAAAATTTAGAATAGGCTGACACAGTCAATTCTAGGAAATTAGTTAATAAATATGAAAGGTTGGGTGAATGCTCTCTTGCTGAACTTAGTGTTCAGAACAGGCGTGAGAGCTGCTGTGAAATGGGGCATTCAAAAGACCAGCATGGAGGGGTTGGACTGGATTGCCTGGTTAAGACAACAACAAGATCAAGTGCCAAAACATATCTGGGTTTTGCATGTTGTGCAAGTGCCTGTCAGGAGAACACAAGGCTGCCATCCCCTGCCATCCTCTGGGGGAAGAGCTGTGCTGGTGAGGTCTGTGTGTGTGCCTGCAGGCTGCTGTTGCTATAGCATGGCCACTGGCTCTAATCATATTAATGGCATTTCACACTCCAGGAAAGTCATTAAAGACTCTGTTACTAGGCACGGGCTGCTGCTGGCTTGGTAACTGAGATACAGCTCCTGGAAACCTCACTGGTTCCCTCCACAAGATGAAATTTAGCTCAGGATGGGACTTAAATTAAAAAAAAAAGTGTGGGGGAGGTGGTGTTGGGGGAAATGTAAATTCACATTCAATAGCATTGTCATTAATTCCAAATCTATGATAACCAAAGAAAATTTAAAGCATTCAATGTAAAGGTGCTTGAGCTAACAGAGAGTTTGAGAAAAAGGTTTATCAATCATTTTGGTCGTGCCAGTTATTGTTCCTTTTCGGATTTTGCACCAAACTATTTCCATGACAACCATTAAAACCCTGTGTTTTGAAACAGGTTAAAAATCCCACCACAGGTTAAAAATCCCACCACTAAACAAGCAAACTGCTTTGTGTACCTGCTTCTCCTCTCAGTTCTCTCTCCAGTTCGACTCCAAAAATCTCCAAAGTTCTTTGTCTTTCCTCCAGCTCTTCTAGCTGGCGCTGGATTGCCTGTAAAAATGTAATGATAGAAAAGCTACAGACACAGCTTCAAAATTCAGAGCCAAAAGATGGCCTCAGTTCTCAGAGAAACAGCTTGGAAAGGTCTCAGAGCAGTCATGGCTCCTGCCAACTCATTTAGTGTCCCAGGCACCTAAGTAATTCAAATATGTCACCAGGTGTCTGTCACAACTTTATCTGAGTATCACAGGCACCAAAAGAACCTCAGCTTTTTCTGTGTTTTAGCTCTCCCATTGTAAAAAAAGAGATCACAACATTTCTGTGTCTCACAAGGTGCAAAAGTCAATACTTTCATATTCAGAGACATATATTGTGAGATACTACATTAGTAAAGCTCATATAAATAGAGAAGGCTTACAGCTGGAAAGCTCTGCTTGCTATTTTATTGTCCATGGGAATTTTGTTTGGTTTGCTTTCATATTTCACCAGCTTTTGACCCAGAAAGAAAAGGATCTAATAGCTGTGACAATTCAGTGGCACTTCAGGAAGGATTTCTACATCCATTGTCCATTCCCTTTGAAATAAGACTTTTAGAGGTGTGGTGGGGATAAAAAGCATGAAACACCTTAAAAGGTAGAAATGTCAAAGAGAGATGCTCAGCAGTTCCCATTTCAGGCTGTGTTAGGGCATTCCAAGCCAAGCCCTCAGCAACAGCCTAACAAATACAAAAGATCATTCAAAAAGTTTGGACTTCATTGTCTCCACAAAGCATTGAAACAAGAGTAGTCACATATGCATCTAATGTCACCTGGAGATCATTTACAATTCTCAGATAAAAAACTGAAACACAGCTTCTCTTCCCATGCATTGAGCAGGATACATCTGAGATCAAATTGTGCAGAAGTGCATGTACAAATCTTAAACTGTAATTGGAAATAATCACACATCAGTAGAATGCAGAGCTTTCCTAGCATTCTCTGAATAGCAGGGCCTGTGTAAAATGAAGTGGCTCTCTGTCATTAAGGGGAAAAATGATTCACTTTCGTTGTTGTAGCAGGGAGAGAACAAAAGCCATCACTGCATTTTTGTATCTTCCTGTCATGCACAGAGGTAATGGCTGAGTTTCTTACATTCTACAGGGCTGATGTTACTTCCCCTTTCTATCTCTCTCCCTCTTCAGTCCCCTTCTCTTATTTCCAGCCACTATTCCCTCTTGTTCTTTGTGCACATCTACAAAATCATGACGCCAATTATGAAGATCTCCAGGGACTGACATGAGTTTGGCACAGGCCCCTTCCTGCTGCTGCTGCTGCATTTCAGCACAGAGGGCAGAGAGCCATGCTGAGGAGTGAGGGGAGCTGCAGAGCCCCTTTGGGTCCCCCCATCCTCACCAGGCACTCCTGGGGACAAAGGGACATCTGTGAGCTGCATTTTCACCTGTGCTTTGTGAAGCCTCTTCAGCTCCTCTTGTTTAATCAACTGCTTTGTCTCCTTCTCCAGCTTCCTTCTCTTTCTGAGAGCCTTTTTTGCCTATAAGAGACACAGAGGGAAAGAGAAAGGCAATCAAAGCACGAGTCTGCCATTGCAGCTTTCCTCAAAGCCCCCCCAGAACCAGGGAACCATCGAGGGTGGGACTGACCCTGGGGACAGTCTGAGCCCATCCCCTGCCCAGAGCAGGCTCAGCTGCTGCAGGCAGAAGGGAAACAGCCATGTAGGAGCATTCACAGGCATTTGCTATGCTGCCTTTAAAGCTTTACAAGCTCCCAAGGCAGCCCTCAGCGGGTGTCAATAAAACATTTCCAAATCACCAAGCTGGCTGTATACAACATCCCACTATAAACAGGCATATAGAGGCTGGGGAAAGCACCACTTAAAGGAAATGCAACCCATTTCCATTGCTGAAGCTATCAAGTGGTGAATTCACATCATGGGGCACTACTTGAAGCCCTGTGAAACCTTCCCTAAGGCCATTGCTGTGCTGCATTACAGAGACTTTTGTTTTTCCCCAGGGCACTTGTTGCTGCTGTTGGGAGATCAGGACAGCACAGGGAATCACCTGCCAGGGAATCACCTGCCATTTCTCCATCTTGCCTTTGACCCAAGACTGTCCTGAAGTGCTTCAAGGCTGTGGTGTTCCCATTTTTGAGGAGGCAGGAGCACCATAGACGGGACAAAATTAAAAACTTACCCAGCCAGGAAGTCACTAAAATTATTCCCACCAAGTTTTGCCAGATACAAACGGTGGCACTGTCTAAATAGCAGCCAGAAGTGTCATGAAAAGGGATGGTAGGAGGAGCTGAGAGAAGCACACCGAGTGGGGAATGTGCATCCAAACTGAACTGCTGGGAATGCCCATGTGCAACAGCTGCTCCTTCTTCCCCTTTCTGGCAGCTTTCCTGGAGCTCTGCCTTCTGCCCTGCCTGAACTGCTGGGGTCACTCCTATCCAGCTTGCTCCCATGTCTCCCTTCTTTTCTCTATTTTATTTAAACCTGCTTTAATTCCCCATGACATTATTGTACTGCAGATTGCCTTCCCTGTAACAGGCAAGATGAATGAAGAATTCCTGCCATCCCAGCACACCCTGCCACAGAGCCATTGGGGACAAGTGCTGCCACACATTGCTCTGCTCTGGCTCCACTTTTTCCATTCAAAGTCCCACTTGGCATTGATATTTTTCAGTCTTTTTCAGTACTTTGCTTTCCTTCCTCTTGCCCCCCCCCCCAAATTAAAAGGTCCCCTCATACTATAAATTACATTTACTGATATCCTGCACAGGAAAGGGATATAACACCTTTCTGGTGAGCCATTCAGACAACAAAAGCTGTGTTTCCTCACCTCAGGGCTGGGTTGGAGGGTTCAGGGGGCTGTAGCCCCCAGCCCCTGCTGTCAGCCCTTTTTGGGGTACAGGGCCTGGGGGGGATTTATCCTAATCAGCACAAGTGGGTGAGCCACAAACTGAGTGTTTTCCAGGCAACATGCCTGCAGCTCTTCTCCAATGAATCTGCATTCCCCCAAAGGAAATCTGCATCTGTTTGGTTTGTTTTTTTCAATAGCTTGCTTGTTGGGCTACTTATTTAAGGCCACTTAAGGATCAGCTTCAAAGCAGCTTCAGTGAAACATTTCTGTTTGTCAGATGAAGACCTCCTCTGTCAGTGGTGGTATAACCAGGGGAAATTAAAGGTCCAAAGAGGCAAAAGAATTGTTGATGTTCATCAGTCTTAATGTAATGACATGTAACCTCCAATGTTCCAATCCCCACTTTGAGGAACCTCTGCGTGGCTTAGATCAAAATCATATGATGAATTTTAAATACAGCCCAACTAGGGAAATACCTTTCTGTTTCCAACTCAAATTACCTTGTGTGTTAATGAAGTCTTGGATTCAAACTCCTCATCAGAGGATGAAGTAGAATAGTCAGCAGCTTGTTTTCTGACAGGTATGTGTTTATATCCTAAAACACAATAATAAAACGATCAGTGAAGCAAAAAATACTGTTCTTTAACTTAAACAGACACTTTGCACCTGCCCTGAGTTCCAATCAGCAGCACCTAGAGCAATTTGGACATTCAGCTGACAACACTAATTAAATTTTTTGTTCCTGTCAAAAACTGTCTGGCCATATATTTTATTTTTTCTAGGTACTCCAAACAAATAAATTAATTCCTTGAGCACCCTGCATGTAGCACGCTGTTCTGAATGCACTCAACATTCATTAAAATGTATATCTGAAGTTAGCCATATTACCCAAATGATTGTATAAGGCTCACTATACGGTGTAATTGAATGCACAAAGTCTGAGCCAGCTCTTAAACAAATTACCCTTATGTGGCTTGTAGCATCTGGCACCCATTTTTACTACATGACATCTGCTCAGTGTAAAATAGTTGGCGTCAGAATGTCTGGTCATATAAAAAAATCACAAATGTAATCAGAAGCAAATGGACTAAGAGAACAGGGCTTTATCACACAGCCTCATGCAACATAAATATTTCATTAATTATGTCTAAACAAATGTCACTTATTTTTCTGCTTTTGGAATATTATCACATCATTGGGCTGTTGATTAAAATGCCATAAGAAGTCAGGAAAATCTGTACATCACAACAATGCACTCCATAAGGAAAACTCAAAGTCTGCCTTTGGAAGAAACATGCTTTCAGAATTATAAATTAAATTACATTTAATTGCAGCAATTTTATCTTGCCTGCTTTTCCAGCATCTTGTTTCAACTGGGTGTAAATATTTGAATTTCTTCTTAATTTGTCTAATGCGTAGCTTCATTCTCTTTAATTCAGAAAATAAAACCTCTTTTGGAACATCTGTCTCTATGCTTCAACCTGCTGCAGGGTTAATGATTAACAGCTGGCCATCTTGGAAATGTACATAATTTAAAGCAAACACTGTTAGTTTTTCTTTGTGTCTACAAGGCAACAGTTGGCTTTCTAGGTGTGTTCAGATCGAAATCTCCTCCCCTTCTCCCAGTGTAGATATTTCTTCTTTGCCTTGCTCTGGGTCCCAGGGCTGAATTAGGACTTTTGCCTCCAGCCCTAATTTAAACTCAGGATCCATGAAACGTGTTCATCCCATTGTCCTCCCCTTTGGGTGATATCAATAATTTAGGAAGCATTACAAGGTCTGGAGGAGAAGCAGCCTGCTCCATACAATAAGACAAACAAACAACAAAAATCCCCAAACCAAAACCTAAAAAAACCCCTCCAGCCAAACAGGGTGAGACAGGCAGAACTTAGCCAACAGCTGTGAGAATTTGGACAAAACAAACATAACAATCTTCAAACTTAGGGACTTTACTGAGTCATTAAGATCTGACATTTAGAACTGCAGTGCTAAAGTTAGATGATAACAATTTGCCTCCAAATATGACAAGCCTAAAGCTTGAGCTGCTGCAGAACTGATCTCAAAAATGTAGGTTCTTTTCCAAATATTAACTCAAGTCCTCTAGACTTGGGCTTTCAACTTTCCAGGCATCTCATTCCTTCAGACTGGGAGTTATTTATTGCATATTTCTTATTTCCTGAGTACTCTAGCATCTCCCTCATTTCCAAATTAGCATATGTTGAACAAGCCCTCAGATGGAATTGCAATGCTTTTGAGAACCTCTCCCTTAACATGAACAAGGTACTCATGTTCCCAGCAAGCCTGAGGTCCCCTGGAAAACAAGGGAGCTGTGATGGGAAGAGCTCCTGAGCTGATGCCCTGTGTTAGATGTGGGAGCATTTCTGATTGTCCTGGAGATTCCCAGGGAAATCCAGCCCTGGAAAACAAGGGAGCTATGATGTGAGGTGATGCCCTGTGTTAGATGTGGGAGCATTTCTGATTGTCCTGCAGATTCCCAGGGAATCCCAGCCCTGGTGTCCATCTGCCTGCCACAGCTCACTGCCCTTTGCTCCCTGGGCTGTTTTTGTGCCATGCAGCCTGAACACACAGAATGTCTTGGAGCAGAACTGTTCTGACAACATGATGCTGTATCCATCTCTTGGCTTCCTCCACAACTGTCCAAGACTGCATATTTTTGTAAAGTCATGGGATTAATCCTGACCACTGTAAGAACTTCGGTGTTTTACAAGAGAGAGAGATAAAGTTACACACATCTCCTGGGGCACTGGTGTGCAAAATGAGATGGAAGCTGGTAGGAAACGGAAGGAATGGCCAGTAGGAATCCAGAAGAATGAGCAGCAGAAAGAGAGGACTTGGTTTCACATCTCTGCTTCTCCACAGATTTCTCATGTGGTCATATGCATGTAATGAATTTTCTGGTGCCTCAGCTCCCCTTCTAAAATACAAAACCAGTGCAAAAGCAGTGTCCTCACTGAGCAGACACTGCAAACACACAGAGCTTATGGAGTCATGGGAACCTGAAACATTTGCAAGCAATCCCTTCCCAGTCTGAGTGAGCACAAAACCAGCAAAGAGAGCTCACAGCACGTTAAATTTCCTCATCAGCTGAACTGGCTATCCTGCCTAAAGTATCAGTAATTAACATGGCACTTTGGCATTATTTTGAATTTCAAAAGCTCAAGTAGGCTTAGGAGAGAACCAGTTAGCCATCTGATTGAACAATTTTATTGATCAGTTTTTTGGGGGCAGTTTTACTGCACGTTGGAACACAAAGGAAGCATCAGAGGACAAAAGCCTTAAAGATATTTATGCAGTAAATAAAAAATCTGAAATAGGTGCTGGGAGTACTTTTATCCCTTAAAGAAATTTTCTGAAATTTGTAGTAAATTTCAAGAGAGGAAAATAATAACAAGAAGTGTGTGCTAAAGCTTGTCATCCATCACTTCATGGCTTAAGTTTGCCAAGCCTGGGCCTCTGACAAGGGCCTGTATGAGACAGAAATGCCATTTCTGAGAGTCAAACAGGACTCAGCTCTTTACTAGTTTTACTATATACAAATTTACTTGAATATGAATGTTTTAAAAACTTCAGAGAGCTACAATGTTGAAACATTGAAGATAACATTACTGGGCAAATGACTAGATTAGAGCTTCATTTGTTTTTTTTTTCTAAACAGACCTTGCATTTCCTATATTCAATAATTGTAATAATTTAACAATTTCTCTTCTGGCTTGGACAGCAGAGGAATCCAACACGTTACACCAGCATGGTATTTCAAAATATTTTCACCATAAATCAAGAATAGCATTATTCAAACCTGCAAGAACTTTTCCCATTTCAGTATGAGCCAACATACCAATTACTGCAAAAATATTTCACACCTGAATCTGTGCTGCACTTAATTCTTTCTGAGCCTCTGCTCACATCACTCAGACTGCTCTTGGTCTGGCATCAATATTTCTTGGACTTGTCTGCAGTTTTAATACTAACCTTGCTCTAGCAAGCAAACAAGAAAATTGATACCTTTTAATCACTGCCCAGATAGACTCACAAATAGGTCAGAGGAGGTCAATAAGGTGCTCTCTCCTCTCAGATTGAACAGCGGGATATTAATGACACTGCAAAGCTCCCAAAAGTATGTCCACAGTGGTCACTGACAGCAGGGCTGAGGAGACACGTGCTGAGGAAGCACAAACACAGAGCAAAGCTTCTTGCTGCTGCAACCCTATTGCTTCAGCCTCTGGTTCCTCATGCAGGGAAAACAAATGTACTCTGCACTGTGAAAACTGGAGCTTTTGGTGCTTGTCCTTCTGCTTGCCTGCTCCAGTCCCCCTTCCACAGCCCAGTGTCACTGCAGGAGCCGCTGTGCCCAGCGTGCCACTCTGCCTTGCCACCCCTGACCCAAACATGTCCCAGCAGCAGGGAGCAAACCAAACTCTGGTCCAGCAAGCTGCTTCTGCCTCCAAGTCCACTCCACTCCTTTAAATCTGTAGCAACACCTAAACTTTAGCCACAAAATTGTAGGAAATACCTAGAAATTAAACATAGCACGCCTCAGGTGTGTGCCTGCATGGGCATGCACAGGTCTTTCAAAGGTTAAGTGCTATTATGCAATAATAATAACGATGATGATGATGATGATAACAGTAATAATAATAGTAATAAAGTAATTCCTCTGGTGTCCTCACCTGTGAAAGGATAGCACAACCTCTCTGGAGAATGGTCCTTAAGGACAGGCAGAGATGACACCAAGGAATTCCGTTCCCTCTCATGAGCTTTGCTTCTCAGTCTGTTGAAGAGTGACCCTTTCTGTGCACAGTCACCCAGACTGTCCTTGGGCTCTGCAGATGAAAGGGGAGTGGACTTCTTACAGACACATATTTCATCCATGGGAGTCCCCAGAGGACTGTCCTCAAAGGTGAACTTTTCTAGGAGTCCTGGGACCTCCTCCATCCTAGTGCAAGCTGGTTTCTGAGGTATATGGGCTGTCCTGGAGGGCCTGTGGGGTGTGAAGGATACCTCCTCCCTGGAGTCCATTAGAGATATCCCTTCTGAACCCACAGAATAATGAGACTGATTTGAGTAAGGGCTCCCATCTCCTACATATTTTCCTGCCCACTCCCTTATTTTAGGATGCTGTGACTGAGTGTTATTGTTGTTCCTGTTCCTTTGGCTCAGGGAATACCCAGGAGCGCTGGGGAAGCTGAAGAAGGCTTGTTCTGAGGAGGCTTTGACTTTGCTGTCCAAGTCCTGCTTTAATCCTTCTGGAGCTGAGGTCAGAGGCTCCCAAATTGACCTTCTGATGGCATTGGCTATGAGCCTCAGTGGGGACTTTGGCTGGGTGGCTGCATGCTCCCTGGACACCACATCTGGAGCCCTCAGAGCACCCTTGGTGTGCACTGATGAAGCTGGTGGAGAACCATCTGCAAATAGGGGCAGCTGTCCAGGGCAGCCAGGGCGTTTGAATGCTTCTTTTGTCCAGGCAGCATCCCTTTTGTGCAGAGCCATGGGGGCTCTGCTCTTTGCCCAGCCTGCGCTGCTCCCTCCTGGCTCTGGCCTGTCTGAGCCACACAGGGGCTGCTGCCTCTGTTTTGCCTCCTTAAATTCTTGCTCAAACTCCTCTTCTGGGTGCCTGCTGGCTTTGCCATCTTTCTCTTTCAAGTCCAGAGATGACAGTGTGTTTGTCTCCCTGTTAAGGTGCTCTGGTTCAAAGGTGTATTTCCATGTTTTTTCCTTCCAGTCCCAGGCTGAGCTGTCACTGTCTGTGTCTTCAGGCTCAGGAAAATCAGCAGCCAGTGTCTGATTCCTGGCAGGGCTCTGTGGAGAGCCCATGGTGCTGCTCTGAAAGGGACAGTGGGGAACACAGCAATGGGTGTCTTCAGGCATCTCCCTGGCTTTTTCTTTTCTTTGAAACACCGGGCTGCAGGGTTTGAAATGTCCTCTTGGAATTTCTGGTGATTTCTTGTAAGAAGCCAACTGTGAAGTGCATTAAAAAAAATTATTTTAGGGATATAAAAACATTGATCTGTGTAACCTCTATTTTAAAAAATATTTTATTCCATTTTAATCTCAGCATAATAGTAAAGAACATAATGTTTAATTTATACACAAATACATGTGTAGATGATAATGTGAGAAAAGCTTCTCTCCCTAAAGGGCTAATATTTCTCTAGGAGTAGCAATCTAATAATAGTGGAAATTTTAATAGTCTAAAAGTAATGTTATTCATCTTTAAGAATTACCTTTAATATTTTCTTTAGAAAGAAACAATCCTATCTCCAGGAAAGCAGACAAGAGCAGATCTGCTCTATTCCCCTGTGCACTCCAGTTGCATCACCTTAGAGTTTTGAGCAAGCAAAAGAGACCATTATCCATCCTCTCCAAATTTCTAACAAACACTACCTGTTTATGTAGTGCAGGTAGGAATGGAAGAAGTGACCCAGGAAAGATTATAAAATGTAAAATGGTAGTTTTATACAATTAAATTAGTTCCCTCTCGTGGTGATTTTTCCTTTGGTAAAGGCTTAAATTCATTACTCCAGCCACCAAAATCTTCTGCTAAAGATAGTAACAGGGATAAATACCCACTTTATGTAGCCAGCAGAACAAAACTAGAGTTCTTCCTTCCTTCTTAAAAGGGAGGCATTTTATCATCAGTGCTATGTGATAATGGATGATGTGAAGATTGAATTCCTGCTTCCACTTCTGTGCCAGATACCCAAATTCATATGGGTGAAGCCATTAATCTGTCTGACTTTTCACTTCCCAGAAGCAGCAGAAGCAAGGCAATAATGATTGCACTTTGTTTCATGCTTCTGTTTGATGACTGAAGTTGTTAGTGGCCAGGATTTTGGATTTAAAAAAAAAAAAAAAAAACCAAAAAAAAGTAAGAAACAATAAATAAATAAACACCCTGTTAATCCTTGCTTTCCAGAGTAAGGAAAAGGGCTGTGAGCAGTGCTGGTAGGGCAGGAGCTGGAGCTGAATGGAATCAGGCAGTGCTGTGCAGCTCTGCTCCCCTGGGACCTTCTCTTCCTGGCCCCATTGTCCTGCACCGGATCTCAGCCACCACCATGGACGTGGAAGAGTTCATTTCTTTCCTAGCACAGAGGTCAAGTAATTTCAGTCCTGTTTAACCCAAGGGTGAGGACAAGTGTCCAAGCATGGAGGATGTGGGCTGGTCCCTGCTCCACCTGGCTCCAGGGACTCTGCTCAGGATGGGCAGCCAGGACTCCTGCTCTGCTGCACTCACGGCAGGCCCACCCTTCCTCATTCTTAAAAAAACTAAAAACAAAAGGCCTTCAGAAAACACCATGGAAATCTGAGATCCTGAAGGACACAGAAGATGCTCCTGTGCAGTGGGAGATGTGAGGTCCTTTTCCAGCCTAAACTATTCTGTGACTTTATGACTGATGCGACAGATTAGTGGCTAACTCCTTGTGTGACTGAGGCCTGAGTCTCGCAGACACCTGATTTGGGAATGATCACATCAAATCCAAGTCCTTTTCCTCTGTACAGCACAAGTCTGGCTCCACCCTCAGTGGTCACTGTGAGGACCAAAGCTCTTTAAAGAGCAGGGACAGCTTGCTGAGAGTCCCAGCCATCCTGCTGTGCACAATTCCCTTTGTACCTGTGTCTGGCAGTGCTCCTCTGCAGCACCACCCTGGCAGCTCCCTGAGCTCTCCTTCCCGTGTGGCCCAGGTTTCTTGCTTGACAGCAGAGGAAAGCCTGCAAAAGACACAACTTTTACCTTCCCATTGGTATTGGCTTTGTCTAAAATGAAGCCTGCAATTGAAAAAGAAGAGCAGAAGATTAAACAGCCTCCTGGGTAGAGTTAAACCTGAAGAACTGACCTGCAGCATTGAAGTTTATGGCCTCACTCACATATGTGTGTGCCTGCTGTGCCAAACACATGTTGATATTTTCAGTTCAGGACCTGAACTGCTTCCACTTCTGGGCTGGATGTAGTGAAGCAGCTTTGGAGCTCCAGGAAACTTCTGGAAAGCCAGTCCTCTTTAGAGGGCCTTCAGGCTTCAGAAGCAGTCAAAGCAACCTGTGATTTTTGAACTTTGGGTAATTCCGAGAAATGAAGGAAATGGATGACTCCTGAGAGAGCTGTCCATCAGAATGGGGACAAAACAGGAAATACATCCATCTGCAGGCAGCAGGGACAGAAAAAAGTCTCCCAAGTCAGGACAACAGGCAACACGATCTGCTGGGATCAGGCAGGGTAATTAATTACTAAAGGAGGCAACACCCACCTGAAGGGTGGCAGGAGAACTTTCCCTACTTGTGTCTATGGGAATTTTACATAACAAATAATCTTTGGACAAACAAAAGTATCCCTGATCCAAGATATTATTGTGTCCAGCTATAACATGATAAGTATATTCACAGCTCAGTCATTAACTCCCAAAGCCAAGCATTAGTCTATGGGGAGAATTCCTGCCAACCCCAGCTCACATGGGCACACCTGAGAACATTGCTCCACACAAAGCCACAGCCCCCACCTGTCACAGGGAAAACAGCTTCGTTCCCACCAAGATGCTGAACCTGTATTTTCGGCTTTGCTTTCAAAACAGGATTTAAAATTTAAAAAAAAAGTTCCCTAGGGCACTATCATGATCTTGTTGGCCCCAAATCCCAAGATAAATTAGGAGCACGGCGTTCCCTGTGGCCGTGCATGGGGATTAAAGGTTTTGAAAGGTAATATCCTGCTCTGAGCCTTTCAGCCAATATAGGTATGACACTGATTTCCTCTCCTTGGCTGCCTACCCTGTGCTGTTTATGAAACATATGTGTTTGGGGAAATATGCCTGAAAAGGAGACTGAGGTTTTTCTCATGTGACTGATGATCACATGAATTCCTTTAATCAAATTGGATTAAATATAGAAACTATGACTTACAGTCTTCCTCCAGAGAGTAAAAAAAGCTTTTATTCTTCTCCCAGTGTATGCTGACTGTGCTTTACACCTCATTTTAACAGCGTACTTGAGCTGCAGGCAGACTCATGCAGCACACTGCTTCCCTCTCAAAGGCTTTTAGCTCCCTCTACAGCCCTTGAGGCACACGGAAGATTTTAACAGAATGATGGAAAAATTAATTGGCAAACCTGTAAGCAATGCCCTTGCTGAGAACAAGCTGAAAATCAGTCAGAATTAAGAGTGACACCCCCTCCAGTCTTCTCTGCTTTCCTCTCTAACAATCTTTCTTACCCCACACACAAACCTGGATCAAGAATCATCATTGATTGATCTTCTAAAAACTGAGATCAATTCAGGCGAGCCTTTAAACCCAAGCCTGTGGTGGAGCCAAACTCTGCTGTCTGTGCCAGTTCCCACGTGCTTTACAGCGCTCCAGAGGCAGAGCCAAGGCTGGCAGGGATGCCAGGAGACCTTGGGGACACCCTGTCCCACCTGCTTGTACCAGGCATGGGGCAGCCTCCCTGAGTGGGACACCCCAGGAGCCTCTCAGAGCACGGCACAGCCTCCTGGCACAGGCAATCCCAGGGCATGCAGCCCTGTCTGTCTGTCTGTCTGTCTGGCACAGCTGCTCTGCAGGGACAGACCTTCACAGAGCTTGTGGAAGCCTCCTCTCAGGAGCATGGAATGGCTCTGTGTGTGCCCTGCTGAGATTTACTGAGTTATCCTGAGGCACCCAGGCCTCCAGGACACTGTGGGTGGGCAGTGACAGTGCTCATGTACACCTGATTGAAGGCAAGGCTGATGCCAAGCAGAGGAAATGTATCTTATCTCATCATTTGAGATATAAAAATTCATCCCACAGCACAGGGACTTGACAATAATCTCAAAGCTTTCTTGTGCATTCAAAGCAAGCTGAAATCTTTTCAGCCTTCTGTAAGTATCCTTTCTGTATCTTTAGTATAGCATTCTTTAATATAATGTAGTATCATAAAATAATAAATTAGCCTTCTGAGACCATGGAGTCAGATTCATCATTCCTGCCTCCATCTGAGGGGAACCCAAATACAACAGAGCCCAGCCCAGGAGGAAGGTTACCTCTGGGAGGGGTGACCACACTGTGTATCAGAAATTAATAGAGCACAATCTCTATCAAAATCACTGCATTCCTGCATGTGTGACTCCCACAGGGAAAGGCAGGTCAACCCAAACCAAGGAAAACTGCTAGAGGACAAGAACCACTAACATTTATTTTCACCATCTCACCTCTTGGGGTTGGCTTTGTCCCTTTCACCAACCCAGAAATATCACCTGGGTTTATTTCCCAGCAGAAAAGAGGTGACAGCACCGGTGGGAGTATGCCAACAGGCACCTCCAGGAGCTCTACCAGTGAGTGACACCAGGTCAGCCCCAGAGCCACACCTGGTCAGAGGCAATCAGTGCAGGCAGGCTAGAGACAAAACCTGCACCTCCGGGACAGAACTGTGTGTTCCCACCTGGAGAATGAAGTGGACACCACCTGCTGATGAGTGCAGTCACACAGAAAGGGAGTTTGATCTTTTGAGGGTAAGAAAATGGAAAGAAACATTTGGTGCGTTTTAGATCTCTGTTTTCTCAACTAGTGACTCAAAATACAAAACTAGTAGTGACTAGCGACTCAAAATCACAGAAATTCTAAAGGGAAGGAGGGTATACAGACAGCGAAAGGACAGGAAAACAGCATGAATAGAAGATACAATCACTTCTCAGGCTCTACTCACTCGTTTGGATTTTTCTCCTCCAATTCTGATACTTATTTAACGCCGTGGACTGGAAACTGTTGGCTCTCTGGAGCGCTGGGCAGAAGCAGAGGGGACACAGGGTCAGCTAATGCAGCACAAGCCGGAGAGCAAACGTGGAGCTGGGAAGAACAGGCGGCAGGAGGAGCAGAACCCCAAATTCCCGGGGCAGGGGCTCCGTTCTCCGAGCAGCTGCAGCCGGGAGAGGGCAGCGCGCATCCACAGGGATGCAGGAGCAGCTCCGAGCCCTCCCGGACCCCGAACCCAACAGGGATGGGGCAGGAAAATAGCCCAGCAAACAGGGATAGCCAGGAAAAACACCTCAACAAATATGGATGAGAGCAGGAGAAACAGCCCAGCAAACAGGGATAGCCAGGAAAAACACCTCAACAAATATGGATGAGAGCAGGAGAAACAGCCCAGCAAACAGGGATGGGGCAGAAAAAACACCTCAGCAAATGGATGGGGGCAGGAAAAACATCCCAGCAAACAGGGATCCACCCCAGCAAACAGGGATGGGGCAGGAAAACAGCCCAGCAAACAGGGATGGGGCAGGAAAAAAACCCCCAGCAAACAGGGATGGGGCAGGAAAACAGTCCAGCAAATGGATGGGGGTAGGAAAAACACCTCAACAAACTGGGATGGGGCAGGAAAAACAGCCCAGGATGGAGCAGGAAAAACACCCCAGAAACAGGGATGGGGCAGGAAAAACACCTCAGCAAACAGGGATGGGAGCAGGAAAAAGACCCAGCAAACAGGGATGGGGGCAGCGGGACACTGGGGACGAAGAGGGACAAAATCCTTTGGTGGTTACATGGAGCCACACGCTGCTGGGCACCTTTTGGGTCTGCTGCTGTCCTTTTGCCTCAAACAAGGGCTCCTTATTCAAGAGGGGATTGAAATTGCTGTGTAAAATCCCCTCTTTTCTGCTAGGATTAAAAATGCATGTATGGACGTGGGAGTGGTGGGAGATGGGAAGAAACAAACACTGGCAGCCTTTTATTTTCTGCAGAACCATGTCTTTGGCTGTTTTGAGCACATCTTTTAGTTGTGACCAGCTCCAGAGAAGAGTTTCTTTCCATTTGAAGGCAGATTGCTCCCGAACCTCTCCTCACCTCCCTGCTAGCTATGTCCTTTTCTGCCTGTGCTTTCACTGCATGCAAAACCATTCAGCAGCTACCTGTAGAAACCCAAATTGTTTCAAGCAGAGCTCTCCAGTGATTCCCAGCCTCACCCTTGCCCAGGCAATGCTGCAGATTGCCTAACACCACCCTAACATTTTACTGGTGGGAAAACATCCATCCCACCTCTGCAAACCAAGCACGAGGCACAGCTCCTCCAGGCTACCCTGCACTGTGGGAATGGTGCACCAAAAAGGGAGAACTCCCCCGCAAAAAGACAACCTGGCCACACTGCAGGGAACGGCCTCCACTTTGAAAAGTCTCCCCCAGTCCTGTCTGCACCCTCAGAGAGGCTGCTGGAGCACCCCCACGCCAGGGTACTGCTTACCATCAGCCACTTTGGATGTTTTGGAGCTTTCCTGGGGCACCGTGGGGCCCCTGATGAGCGATGCCCACCTCGGGATGGGGCTGGAGCAGGCGGGGGGCGAGGCTGGCACCAAGGGATGGGCTTCACCCACCTCCGAGCTCGAGGAGCCCCCGGGCACATCCAGCTCCAGCTCAGAGCTACAGGGAAAAGGAGAGAAAAATGCGTGGTTTGTGATTAGCTTTTGGCAAATATTGAAATGAGTATTAAATGGGTTGTGTTAGAAAGTGATGCTGCATTAATTCTCTTAAGTATGTGGTAAATATAGTTTTAGGTTATAAAAATTGTTAAAATAGAAACTATGCTATGTAGGATTCTTTTTCTTAAAGGGAGGACTCACAGTGAGACAGCAGCCACAGGACACCTGAATCTTTCAGAGAAAGATAAAAAGAATTTATTGCCCCATTATCAGAAGAAATTAACAACTTCCCACCTCACTCTGACGCTGTCAGGATTCAGAGGAAGAAGCTGACACTGCCCAGACAGAATCCTGTGTTTGAATGGAATTTATGCATCATGGATGAGCTGTATGAATATGCAACAGGCTGTTGCTTTTAAGGGTTAATCCTTTGTTAACGTGGAGCCTTTTTTGGGCTTGTGCTGCCCAGAAAGAGGCACCCAGACTGTCCATAACTCTTTGTCTCTATTGTCTCATATTGTCCTAATCCAAATTGTCCAAATTTTTATCACTCTAATTATATTACTATTTTTATAACCATTTTATTACTATTAAACGTTTAATACTTTAAAAACAAGTGATTGGCGATTTTCACAAGGGCAAGATGGAAGTGGGACGTTTCAGGGGGTGTAACCAGCACCAGCATGAGCCCTGACAGCAGTGTGGGTGTTTCAGAGGAAGAGCTGCCTGGCAGCCAAAGCTGATGGCCTAATTTTTCTCCTTTCATCACCACGATACCAGGACTGTGATTTGCTGTGGGTGCTGCCCAGCTGAGCATCCCCATTGCCATCAGAGCATGGATTTGCACCCACAGCCACGAGGTTCAGCACCTGGGATCCATCCCCTCAGTGAAACCCCTCAGTGCTCAGGCAGCAAGGCCAGGCACTTCTGCCTGCAAGCATGAACTGAGGGAAACAGCATTTGCAGCGCTGGGATTGGCCTGGAAACAATGCACTGTGCCCTGCTCACATTTTTCCTGCAGATTTGTGAAAATATGAGGAGAAAGGAGCCTGGAGGAGAGGCGTGAGGACAGCCACAGGCCCAGCATGCAAGGCTGAGTCAAGAAGCTGGAGAAAATTGTAAGCATGAGTCTAGAGAGAGAGGATTGAGTGAAGCTACTTAAGCAGCCTTCAAATGTGGAAAAGGTGTCTGTAGGAAAGAAGGAAACAAACTGCTCATTCCTGGGAGCCACTGGGCCAGCCCATGGAACAGTGAGCAGCACAGGGAGGCACCTGAGCTCATCAGAGGCAGATTATGGCATCCCTTTGAGTAAATGTAATTAAAAATGCACCACATAAACACACCGTGCACATCCTGACCTTGCCTCAGGGCACAACAACCTTTTGAGGTGATTATTAGCCCTTTTTCTAGTAACCAGGCCATTTCTTTCATCTCTGAAATCCAGGCTGTAGGGAACAGACACCGTCAGCCCTTCTGATGTGACCACATTGCCATTGCAGCCACACGAGTGCACTGCAGCAGGATCCCTCTCAGCCTCTTTTGCATGCCAACAATACTGCCAACATAATCTATTCCCACCTAAATCTATTCCTGTGATGATTAATAGCTGTGCCTCAAGAGAAGAGGAGCTCACACCGTGAGCAGTCCTGCTGGCATGGCAGGAGAACGCTGCTCTGTGTTTATACAGAAGAAAGCAGGGTTTTGTTGTCACAGCCCAGCAGGAAGAAGAGGAAGAGGAGAGGCTGCAGGCCTGTATAGAGGCACACATTTGGGTTGCACCCACCAGTGCTGGCCCGCAGCTGCACCCAGATCCAGCCAGCAGTGCAGGGAGGCCAGGGCAGGCAGGACAGCAGGGAAGTGAGCACCTCTCCAGGTGCACTGCTCTCTGAACAGCAGGCTGAACCACAGTGGCCTTGAATGTCATGCTAAAACACACTTTTTAAGCTGACTTTCAAGCAAAGTCAACCATACAGATAGATATGGACATATATATGTAGAAGTATAAATATATGAAGGCTTTGACCCTGTGTGAGACCCGGTGTGGATGGAGAGACACCACACTGAGATTGGGCAGAACGCCACACCAAAGGAAAGGAAAAAGCCCTGCCATGAACATTGATTGATATCTTTCTGTTTTAAAGAGCAAAACATGTATTTTCCTTGGCCAGCAAGGAGGTAAGTGCTTTAGTATGAGGTTTCTCCTCTTGTCTCTGCTGGAAAGGGGGGTCATTATTCACATTACTCAAAGCCTGAACTGCACAGCTGTCACTGCTCGTTTTCCCAGTCCCACCGAGTTCCCTGCAGCCAGCCCAGCAGTGCCATGTGTCACTTGCTGTTTCTCTTGTCCCCCCTTTCAGGCAGGGACTGTCCTGCTGGAGCAGAGGGGGCAGTGGGACATTCACCCTGTGCCACTGGCACCCTCTGCACTGTCACCCCTGTGCAGGTCCTGCTGTCCAGCCCCACGGGAAGGAGCTGATCCCTCAGATCAGTGGATTAGCTGGCTCCCATCACTGCCTGGACACCAGGAGCTGCAGGGTGCTAGCAGGGGATGCAGCACCTTCTCTGCAGAGGAGCTGTCAAACAGGCAGGAAACCCTTCCCTGTGTTCTCCATTTCCTCATGGACAGGCTCATCCTTCCCTGTAAGAGCACCCAGCACTGTCAGGGCACAAACCCCATTTACAGGCACCTCAGGGAACAGCAGAACGTTGCATTTCTCAGAGCCAGGCTGCTCCCCAAAAGCTGCACACAGCACCACAAGTGGGTGTTTGGAGGGTGTCAGGAATCTGAATGAGCTTCCCAGCAGAGCAGCAGTGTTTGCAACAGTTGGTCTCTTGGGTTTGCCTTTTCTCCTTTTTGTTTTTCACTTCCCCTCTTACTGTTTAGTTCTCAGTAAGGAAAAGTGCTTTACTCAGGAGAAACCAATCTAATCTTCAGATGGAATGAACTGCCACAGAACCCTGCCCAAAAGCAAATATATTCTCAAGAGTATGTAGAAATTGGGCTTCCTCTGACAGCTCCCCCCAAGGTTCATCAGATTTCAGATTTCTTAGGGATGGGCAGGCTCTCAAAACCCAGGAGAGGCCCAGGGTGTGGAGTTGCAGGATGGGCCCAAGGTGGGAGGTGGCCACGTCACAGGATGCACCTTTTGCCATAACACACCCATTGCCCAAATCCCAAATCCCTGTGTAACAAAAGAGCTGAACCCAAGCTGATCACAGCAATGTTTTACCCTCTGATCCAGGCCCCTGTGTGGGATGGGAATGTTTGAACATTTCCTGCAAAGTGATTCATGTGCCTTGTGGGGATTTATGGCTGCGGTTAAGAACAACAGTTATTCTGAGCATTTGTGGGGTTTTTTTTGTTTGGTTCTTTTCTCCCACCCTCCTTTGTTGTACATACATCCAGTACTATATTATGCTATGATTTTCGTTAGCATTCCAGAGAAAAGGAAACTACTCTTGTAGCTGTAGTTGTGTTTTAGGTAGCTGCTAGCCTCACTGGTGACCATGATTTGAACAGCCAGGAGGTTGTGCTCAGCCATCTCCTCCTCAGGGATGACCCAAGGAGAAAAGCAAACTGTTCTTGTAGGTTTAGTTGTGTTTTAGGTACCTAAAAGAAAACTGTTCTTGTAGGTTTAGTTGTGTTTTAGGTACCTAAAAGCAAACTGCTCTTGCAGCTTTAGTTGTGTTTTAGGTACCTGCTAGCATCGCTGGTGACCATGACTAGAATGGCCAGGAGGTTGTGCTCAGCCATCTCCTCCTCGGGGATGACCCAGAAGAAAAAGAAAAAGCAAACTGCTCTTGCAGCTTTAGTTGCTTTTAGGTACCTAAAAGCAAACTGTTCTTGTAGGTTTAGTTGTGTTTTAGGTACCTGCTAGCATCACTGGTGACCATGATTTGAACAGCCAGGAGGTTGTGCTCAGCCATCTCCTCCTCAGGGATGACCCAAGGAGAAAAAGGAAAAGCAAACTGCTCTTGCAGNGCCAGGAGGTTGTGCTCAGCCATCTCCTCCTCAGGGATGACCCAAGGAGAAAAAGGAAAAGCAAACTGCTCTTGCAGCTTTAGTTGTGTTTTAGGTACCTGCTAGCATCGCTGGTGACCATGACTCGAACGGCCAGGAGGTTGTGCTCAGCCATCTCCTCCTCGGGAATGACCCTCACGATGGCCCACTCGGGGGAAGGGGGGCACAACCAGGGCTCCAGCTCCTGCTCTTCAGGGATGCTCCTCGCCTTCTTGGGGGAGCTGGGCTCATCAGCCACGGGCAGGCAGCAGCCTGGAAGGCACAAAGGGGACAGCAGGCTGTTAGGGGAGGAGGGAGTCCATGGGGCACCTTGCCCCTGCACTTGAGTGGTCCTTGGCTGGTGGTTTCTGCCTGGGGTCCCCAAAGGCACAGGCAAAGTTCTGGCATGGCAGAAACACCCCTCCAGACCAGGACAGCCCTGTCAGGGCTCCTCAGCTTGGATCCAGAGAGAAGGAACCTTCAGGGGCAGCCTCAGCTTCTGCAGCTGCGGGTCCGTATTGTATTTGCTGGGACCCCCATGGCAGGGAGGAATGATGGATCTGACTCCATGTTCTCAGAAGGCTAATTTATTATTTTATGATACTATATTATATTAAAGAACACTATACTAAACTATACTACAGAATAGAGAAAGGATACTTACAGAAGGCTAAAAAGATAATAATGAAAACTTGTGACTCTTTCCAGACCCCCGACACAGCTTGGCCCCAATTGGCCAAAGAGTCAAAACAACTCACAGCTGAATGCAATGAAACAATCACCTGTGGGTAAACAATCTCCAAACACATTCCACATGTGAGCACAACACAGGAGAAGCAAATGAGGTAATAATTGTTTTCATTTTTCTCTAAGGCTTCTCAGCTTCCCAGGAG